ACTATCGGAAATGAGCTATTTCCTAGATCCTAAAGTTGAATCTTTAAAAGCTGTTGGTTATTACCTGAGAATATATAATATTAAAGAGGAAAAGTGACCCAGCCGACAAAACTTTTGAAAATAGAATAACACGGTGACATTTATTTCTTTAGATCTATCGGTGCGTTTTTACTTAATTTAAGAGTAACTCCAATGGGAAAAGAATCATAAATTAGACAGTCTTATTGTTTTAAAACTAATACAGTTGTAATCTCATATTTTAAATTAAAAATACTTTCATGAGAAATAAATTTATTGACAGTCTTGCGTTTCACTGTCCCACAGGCGGAATCGTAATTAGAGCATGTTAAGTTGAGTGCAGCTGAACCGAAATTTTGGATGGAAGCGTACACACACTGTATTGAGTTAATTTTGACCAAGCCCTCTACTTTATCGTCCTTAAACTGTAAAATACAATCGGAGATGAGCTATTTCCTAGATCCTAAATTTGAATTTTTAAAAGCTGTCGGTTAGTACCAGAGAATATTTAATTTTAAAGAGGAAAAGTGACCCAGGCGACAAAACTTTTGGAAATAGAATAACACGGTGACATTTATTTCTTTAGATTTATAGGTGCATTTTTACTTAATTTAAGAGTAACTCCAAAGGGAAAAGAGAGTATTCTCTCCTCATAATGATTCCGATTTTTTTATACTGGTTAGTTGAAGAATCCTCAATGATTTTTTTTTCGTTCCACTCAACGCAACGCGTTTCATTTTTTATCATTTAGATGTTTGTACCGTTTCTATCCTTAGTCTACTCTCATATCACCAAAAAAAGAAATGGAAATGCATGTTGCTCGGCTAAGAAGTTAAAGCTATTTGAAAGAAAAATTTTATATGTAGTTTTCCTACCATCAATCTACGCTCTCCTAAGGTTGCGAAGAGGCAGGTTTGCTGAGGCGATACGAGAAAGGTCTGGGACCCTGCAAACTAGCTGTGATAAACCCTCTCTGAATCCTGGCATCCGAAGAGCGTAAATTATAGGATTTACAAGTGAGTTGGCTGAGAAAAGAACTACCGTGGCCATATCAATATGAAAATAATGCATCTTAAAACAAGCGGAGGGAAGGTGAACACATGTTACATACACGATTGTCCCTGGTAGAAGACAAAGTAACGATGCAAGTGAGACGATAAGCGCAGTACCCGTCAGTTTGCTTTCTCTTCTGGACATAGAATGGATTTGAGGATGACGACTACATCGTACTTTGATAACAATGAGGATGTAAGATACACCGATAAAAAATAGAGAAACTGCATAAAAAAGGTTATACAAGTATGTATTAATTTCAGCTGGATCAGCAATTTCCCATAAAAAAATTTGAGCGGCTTCTCTAACGAT